ATTCAAAAGGCTTGAGTACAACTGTCAGCCTTTCCTTTGACGTGTGAACACCTAACCAACTGATCAGACAACCACATAGTTCGGTCTCTCTCTTTCCTTAGCCTTATGGCGTCTTCTTTGAGACGTAGTTTTGTTTTGTGACTTCCCTCAATCCGATTATTATTATTATTTGTTTCATTACAATTTACCTACTTTGGATATGAAGAAGAATTGTAGCTCAGGTGGATGATTTTGATGTGATTGTGTTCTCTGAGCTGGGTAGGTAATTTGCAGTGATTTCATTGACAAAATGAGCAGCATCTTCAGTGCTTTCTTCAATTCGAAGTGAGCTTTTAGATTGCTCCACCAGTTTATCAGTCATCTCTCCTAGTGACCTGACCTTGAACGTTATTGATGTATTTGTGTATTTTCACACCCTCTAGGCTACTTGTATTGGAGCTGATTGTTTCCTTGACTTGAACGTTGACACTTTGTGTGTGAGATTTCCTTCTTATCGGTTGGTAAATCTTGTCTGGCTAAATGTGTCTGTTGATTGAAGATTCACCTGCATATCAGGCTTCGAGAAATTCTCTAGTATTTTAAGTGTTTCCTAACCGAACTGGTATCCGTGGTCGTCTGTATGCAGTGAGTGATATAAGGGAGTGAATAAAGTGTCTTTTGACTGGCAGTTTATGTTCATGGATGGGTGGCAAAGAGCCTTAAAAAATACCCCTATTCATTTCATGACTTTTCCAGCAATTATGAGTACTAATTGTCGCTCCCTGCCAGCTAAAATTAACTGTCTTCAATCGCTGGTGTCTTCCATTATATATCGTAATACTGGGTTCATATCATTTCAAGAAACATGGTTACATGATCTATATGATGACAATCTAGTGTATCTAAATGACTTCAAATTATTCAGACAAGATCGGTGTAGTTCCAGGAAGAAACGTGGTGGGGGTATCGCCTTCTTCATCAATTCACAATGGCGTACATCAAATAATGTATGTTTCAAATACTCTAGGGACAATATTGACTGCCTCACCGTTAAGTGTCGACCTAAACATTTGTCAAAATATAACTACGTATACATCTCGAACATTTATATTTCTCCTGGATGCAATTCCACAGAATTGTCTTTATTTTCGGATGAATTTACCTCACTTGCTGCCACCTCCTTCGGAAATTCCTTGTCTAAGAATATTGCCCAAAGTATATGGAAAACAGAACAAAAGGGTCTTGGGTCATACCTTGGAAAGAAAACACAACACAGATGTTATTCTCATGACAACATACAGAATGCACAAACTGGGATTATTTACTGAACAAGCTCTTGATAACGCAATTACTAACAACAAATTATCTTAATTTCTTGATGTTTGTTGTGCAAAAGAGACAATCTTCTTAAAATTCGAGCGCTTCTCTTCTTCTCAACTCAAAGCTTCGTCGTGAAAAAGGGAGGTTGTTCAAAATGAAAAATAAATCTGGTGTTAAGAGAATGAACACTTTGATTAAAACAACACATTTAAGCGAACAATATTGTTTTCAATTAGATCTCATCAGGCTTAACTCTAATATATATAAGTTTACAAATAAAAATTCAAATATAAACCAATCATGGTGTTTTGTGTATAGGATAATAAGATGGTGAATATAAATTGTGCAATTAGTCATAATAGTTGTAATGATAATATTAATAATAGTAATAATAATAATAATGGTCTTTTTAGTAATCACCATCCCATCGCCTTTCTTATCTAAACTTCCTGTTTATTCATGTTATTTCAAGTTTTTCTTAATCCCTGTTAACACTACCATATTTTCATACCCGAACTTAGTGTTTATTTTGTCATTTTACTATTTCTACATATTTAATCGCTGATTGCATGAACAATTATTCATCACATTAGTTTTTATCCAAACATCCTGTCCATTTTGTTATTTCTACATTTCTAACCCCTAATTGCACAATGTCAGTCTTCTTAGTTATTATAATGCTACTTTGTTTGTTTTATCCACCCCCCTGTTTATTATGGCATTCCAATTCCCAATTTTAATTTTTATTAATTTGACCCTTGACCGGATATTATTCTGGAACTTTCCCATCCATTTAATAATGGTCTTATCAATAACAAGGTTGAAAAAGTGAGGCAATCTGTGATAACACGAATAATGAAAAACAGCATGATTAAACAAACGATTGTTCAGGTGGAAGTAGTCGATAAAGGCTAGTAAAAACAAATGAACCGATTACGTAATGTTGGATTGTAAGGGAAGGAAATGAAACACGTTTATAATGAAGATAAGATTAAGGGATGATAAGAAAGGGGTTGAAAATATAAACAAGGGATGGTATAGAAGCCTTTAGTTGGTTATGTCTTAATAGGCCAACGAGGGAGGGATAATGGTTGTACGAACTTCTTTTGAATGCATAGTTTAGGTTTAATAGTTCGAATGCCTATCGCTTGCCTCAGCTGTGTGCAGTAGACGAATACGACGTCGATTGGAAGGATTCGGTGGGATACGATGAATTACTTTGAAGGCTTTCGTTTTCTCGACTACATGACCACTATCAATTAAATGTGACAGAATTGAGCTACGGATTGTTTTCGTCTGTCCTTTGCCAAACCACCGCGATGGGAGATGTTCACTAACACGTTGGCTAAGCTGTCTAGTAGTAGTTGAATTACAAAGATTGATTGCTCTCAATAACCAGAAGTTTCTTTCATGTAAATCCTCATCTAATATGTGGGAGTTATTAAAGGAAATCACAGGTGGTAAGCAAATAACGAATGATACTTCTGTCGATGTTGACATGCTTAATGAATCCTTCATATGTATCCCTGGAGATGTCAAACCTACTCAGTCCCTTGGTCCTATTAATGTTCCTGCTGTTATCCTTAGGAAGTGTGCTGACATCTTATGTTCCCCATTAACCAACACTTTCAACGAATATTTTTCCGAAAGTATTATGCCTGACTCATGGAAAAATATTAAGATTGTTCCAGTGCCTAAATCAACAAGTGGACCTACTGTTAAGTTTAGAACCATCGCTATTACCTCACCTTTTTTGAAAGTTATGGGAAGACTTATTTTACTTAATCTTGAACCTTCTTTAAAGCCTTTCAATGGCCCCAACCAGTTTGCTTATAAACAACGTAGGTGTACCTTAGATGCCGCTGTTGTCCTACAACATAGTATAGTCTCTAGTTTAGATAAAGGAGCTAAATACGTTCGCTGTGCCTTCCTTGATTACACATCTGCATTTGACTCTGTTCCTAGGCCTCTCTTGCTAAGTAAGCTTGCTGCAACACAGGCTGAGATCTGGACAAATAAGTCGCTGCATTCCTATTTTTCTGATAGGAAGCAGTACACCGTCTACAATGGAAAGTCCTCCACTACCTCACTTACTATATCTGGTGTCCCTCAAGGTGCTGTTCTTTCTCCCTTTCTGTTTTCTTTTTTCTTACATGACTTGCCCCATTCTGATGTAGCCACTTTTGTTAAGTATGCTGATGAACTCTCTGTTTCTATGCCTGTCAACTCTCAGTCAGATTGTTCAAATCAAATAAGTTTCTGTCGGAAATTAGTCAGTGGTCCTCTTCAAACGCACTTAAGCCTAATCCGTCTAAATGTCAGGTAGTCAATTTCACTTTCAGACGAAAACGTGACCAACAACAACTAGCTAGCTTGTTGACGACATATAGGTTGAAAATACATCTAGTGTCAAGTACCTTGGGCTGAGTTTTTCCACTGATCTTTCCTGGTCTTCCCACATCTTGCTAGTTACTAGAAAGATGTTTCGCTTAACTTTCTACATTAGGAAATTTAGGCAGTCTGGAATAAAGCAGTCTTTGGTTTCTCAATTTCTCAGTCCTTGTATTCTACCATCCCTCTTTAGTGCTCTCCATTAATCTTTCCTGGACTACTTAAGAAAGACTTTGCTTTGCTGAGAAGGGCGAGTGGGATATCGTTAAACCACTCCCAAGGGGATTCTTATGTCGGGCTTTCTGTGGGATAGGTTAGCCCATGTGTTACTGAATATCTTTGATTGTGGTTTGTTAAAGGACAGGGAAAGTCATCTGAAGCTCTGTTTTCGCATTGAAAAGATATAGAAGACTCAGTGGACAAATCGAAGGAGTTCATGTGCTTCATCATATCCGATTAAGTCTTTCCAGTGATCTTCGTATTCCATTATTGCAAATAACTGGAGTGATAGGTATTCGAACTATTAAACCTACACTACACATTCGAAAGGCGTGAGTACAGCTGTCAGCCTTCCTTTGACGTGTGAACACCTACCCAACTGATCAGACAACCACCAAGCCTCACATAGTTCGTTCATTACCTCTCTTTCCTCAGCCTTATGGCGTCTTTCATGGGACGTAGTTTTCTATACTGACTTCCCTTAATCCGATTATTATTATTATTATTATTATTATATGTTTCCTAAGCAATTGTCTACCTTGTCTGTCTTAGCATTTGTTTATTTTAAACGCCATGCGGTTTTTCACTCTCCTTATTTCTTCATCCGTGTGAATGATGCAATTATTGTTGCTTTCATCATGAAGAATTGTTGTACACCTCATATTGACAGCCCTATCATTCTACTGACTAATCACCATTATTGGCGTTGATATTAAATATTCACTTGTAAATAAGGAGAATTCCTGATAAGATCTAATTGAAATCAATATTGACATATTTCAACACTCCAACACCGTCATCGTTATCACCAGCACCACGATGACCACAATGACTGACCAGCCTCGTGGATTGCAACACTGAAAATGAAGTCAACGGAAGGTAGAAGTCATTCAATTCATTTGAGTGTATATTTGTGAAAATTAGTGTGAAGCTTTTGAAGAGGATGGAAAATAGAAGGAGAGGGAGAAGAATAGGTGGATGTGTCGACAGTCTGACACACACACTGGCTGCACATATCAAGCGTCACTGTGTTTATTGAACTCTCATGGAATATACTGTCTTTGTGTGTGTGTGTGTGTGTGTGTGGTGAATCAAACTGAGCAGAATCCTGGTCCATTCACTGGTTGAACATCCCAATTTAGTCTGTTGAGAAGAAGAAGAAGAATAAGAAGACGAAAATTGTACTAAAATGAAGTCGAATTGATGTAGAGGATTCACAGACATATAGGTATGGAGTGAGTGTGGATGTCAGTGTTGATGGATGTGACATTTTGCAGTGAATTTCAGGTAATTTACGATTGGCAGGTATCACAGCTCTTTTGTCTACATCCAAATTCAACAGTCACTCTGACACTCATTCATACGCAATCACCTAAGCCTTCTATTTCATCTTATCTTCTTTTCGGATTCTCTGTCTGGTCAGTGTATTTCAATTGTTCTTCAAATTGTCAGTACACACACCAACTAATGCTAGGGACTCACGCACAAACACGAGCCAGTTGTTGCATTGGTCCACTTGCGATTCTGAAGTATTCCTCACCTAATCCAACATGTCTTGTGATCATCTTGATATCAGTTTTGGGAACAAATTACATTGTTCGGCTTTTCCGTTAAAAGTGATGTCGCGTCACATCACACAACGTTAGTCAGACAATGTGGAACATTAAGAAATCAGGATGAGTAGCAGTGCAGTGTAGTGCGGTTTGGTGTGGTGTGGTGTGATGTGTTGTGGTGAAACTCACCTTCTCATTCGACAACGAAGTTCACTCAGACGGTCACCAAAATCGTCTGTGCTCGTTCTCTCTTGAGACCAGAGTTGTTCAGCTATTGCAGCAGCTTGAGGCCTGTGTTCGAGAAAATGTATGAAAAGATATGAGATGAATTGTGAGATGTACGCATACACTATTGGTGATATATATAACGACTGGATAATAGGAGGTGGAGTTATGATGTATTGATGTCTCAGAGGAGATACATCTGATCTACCGACAGGCACCTTATTCGTTGAAGTGTTTTGAAACGGGGTAAACATCTCGAATATCTTTCTTGATGTTGCTCGCTGTTCAAAGAGAAAAATATTTTACTTCATAGCTATTTCAATAACTCTGTTTGTGGATACAAGTGATTGTTTGACCCTAATTTGTCCTCTGAAAATACTCAAACTCAGCCCTCATTAATTCCACATTAATACTTTTAGGCGTACAATCACTGAGGGCCTTCGGAAGCTTATATTGTATGAGTGAGGCGAATATGTGATTGATTTCAGAGGCTGATATTGTTCAATGGTGTCAATAACCTCAATGTCATACTGATTCTCTCAAGGAATTCGAAGACGATGTGTCTCCCACCTGTAGTCATATGAGTGATGAAGCTTAAACATGATGAATCGAATACGAAAAACCATCATCTCTTACCATGACACCAACATGAGATTTGAGTCATCCACGTGGTCACCTGGAATCACACCTTCTCCTCCAATGACCAGTGCCTGTTGACCTGGACTTCCTGAAATATTTGAGATACACGGAAATCAATTAACAGCATTCAAACTAATGAAAGGAACTGATCTGGTTATCGCATGTTAGTCTTCATGACTGTTCTGTGTGTACTCCGCTGAACGGAGTGAATATCCCCGTAGACATTTGTCTCAGATGAAACAGAATTGTCATTCTGTTTTGGTTCGAAATGATGAATGAGAGTGTAGATCAGTGAGACGACTGTAAGTCGATTGTAATGATGTCGCCCAATTTCTTTTCAGGCTAATTAATACACACAACGCATATAGGTTACTACTATTATTATGTGCGGTTTTCAACGATGTATTTTTGATATTCGTCACTGAAGTTGTCGGTTGTCTTACTGACATGTGAAACTGAGAAATGTCTCTATGTTTCGTATTTCTGTGTTATCTAATTTGAAGCTGTAGTAGTTTGACTGTATTCTACAAGATGCACTGGTGATCAGTGAACATTCCAATCGATGCAGTTCTCACTCAGCAGTGCTGAATGAATCTGGACGATGAATTATACGAAGTGGATGGAATATGTAGATGTAACATCTACACTGAGAACTGGATACTTGAGACGCTTATACAACAAATAGGGACAACGATTTGACAATGATTTCCCTGTTTGCATTGGTTAGCATTGATATCATTGAAAACGTCAAGTTTGAAAATACTCGGAGTTACTTACCTTCAAAATCCAAAGGATCACACTCGTAGAACGCTCTCCAGTCGTCTCCGAGACTCACATCACTGAAATTCCAACACGACGATATGAGAACTTTGAATCCCGCTCTTGTGATCTCATCAACACTCTTCTTCCATTCATCAGATTTGTATACTTGAACAATCATGTTCCTTGCAAGCTATACGCAGAATAATAATAATAATAATTTGCTTTATTCCAAAACAGTACTTTTGGTGCAGAATAGAATTCTTAGCATTTCACCACATACAGTACTGCATCTAGTTAGTACATTAACAATAAATAATATTCTACATAGAATTAAGGTAATCTCAGTTAGCATTGACAAAAACGTCTTATTCTTTTTCTATGGTCTTTTATTTATTTTTGAATAAATTCTGGTAGGGTGGGTAGCGTGTTATTCACTAGTAATACTTCCTTGATTAGTTTGATTTCATCATTTAAATCCTGTGGCCCACTAATTAGGTTCCTGACCCAGTTATACAGACATTTTAGTGAACGTATCTTCTTTTACTTATCCTGGATGGGATGAATTGAAGTCCAATCTGAGTATTTGTTAGAGTGTATCGATTTCCTATAAATGCTAGTATCTGACGTCCCACCATCCTGTTTTCGTTTTATTCTCCAGTCTAGTACGGCCAACTAACACTCCATCCGTTTCCTGACCCAGAATTGAATTGGATTCCATCTAATATTGTCACTAATAAGTCACTGAGATCTTATCCAGTGGCTCATGAATTCCAACTTCTGCCAATTCACGACATAGCGCAACCACTAGCCAATGTCTTCGGCGAGTATTTGTCCTCACACCCGACCTGCTGTATCCCCACTCAAAGGTTACGACTTCCGACTAGAACCTCAGGTAGCTAACTACCTGAATAGGGCAAGTCGGCTAGTGAGCATCTCGTCGATATTCAAATGTTGGTTTGGGAGGAACAGTTATCGAAATTTACCGTTTGATGTTACAGAAAGTCAAAACAGGTTATTCAGCGAAGACGCGATCTACATATCTCTTATACACTGAAAAACCTTGGACTGGTGACTTCAGACAACCATTATTTGTGATGTTGATTATGGTTCAAAATAATTAATATATTAAGTGCGTTTAATGAGCTCACCACTGGGCTGGTAAACACATAATTAAGGAAAATGATAGAGAGCTTTGAGTTTAATAAGAGATACGTGGACGATAATTTCATCATCTCCAGTAATGAGGAGAATTTGGAAAAAATCTTGAACTTCTTCGGCAGCAACTATCCTGCAATTAAGTCCATATAACAGAAGGAATCCGACATATAAATATCCTTTCTGGAGGTCCAGTTAGCAAGACATGATTAAGATGGAACACTGAAAGCATCCATCTACAAAAAAGCCTAACTTCCATAGCTGGGTGCTTCTATATGAAGAACGAAACCTGATCGATCCACTGAACCACACATTCCACAATATTTGCAACCATGATACTACAGGAGAAGAGTTAAACACGCTGAAGAGAATCTTCTCAGAAAACAGCTACACACAACATTTCATCACAAAATCTATGAAACCTAAACCACCAAAACAGCCCACACTCACTGCTCTCGAAAACCATCGTTTCCTGAACCTACATTTCAATGGAGTTTCATCAGCACAAAGACTGAGAAACCTCCTGTTCGCCCCACTGAAGACAACCTAGCTTGAAGATGAACACCAACTAATATTCTCTACGAAACCAATGATTCACATGAACGCTTAGGGTAAGCTACTACTGTTGGCCTCATCAATATGCATCTATTTTTTCTTATTTTTGATTACAGCTTGATTCCACACTGTATTTTTGGTACAAGTATGGAATTTTCAGCATGGATATCGGTAGCCCAAATTTTGCAGGCCAACCATTGATATTAGGTGTTCGTCGGCAGGGGATTGAACCCCGGACCATGTGCATGGTCGGCGAGAGTCCTGACCACTGTGACACCGACGCACATTCCCTATATATCCAGTTTCCTTACAACACTACTGAGGTAAATTTCAGTTTTGATGTTATTATCATTGTTGTTTAATAGAACTGATAAATTATTGAAGAGTAATCTTCCTTTCCCTGTTTTTGAAGGTTTCGCGACAACGCATATCTCAACGAAGTATTGTAGTCTGTGCACTAGAAGATAAGATAAGATAATAATAGCTTTATTCCAAAACAGTACTTGTGATACAGAATGGAATTCTCAGCATTTTACTACAATATTGCATCCAGTTAGTACATTAACAATAAATAAATTTCTACATAGATTAAGGTTATCTCAGTTAGTTTTGATAACAACATATTGACATGTCGGTAGCAAATCCAAAATTAAACAGAGTGTTAGAAGGTGTTGGAAAAGTAGGTTCTAGCATATTTACTGGCGTAGGCAGAAGAAAGAAACAAAGCAGCACATAACAGAGAAAAAAGAGAGAGAGAAAAGGAAAAGAAAGAAAGAACACGTTGTACCTATAAATGATATGAGGAGTTGGAAAGACGAGATCCAGTTGTTATACTGACTATTTAGTAAGTCATAGGTTTCACGCCTAATGCTTTCTTTATCGCACAGAACACGAGCTAAGTAGGGTATGTTTGAGTTGGGATTTTGTACTTGTTAGTGCGAGTGTGGAGTCCTCAAAAATAAACTTATCCAAATTTTACTACTATGTAAATAATGAACATATTGTACACTACTTTGTTTTAACCATAAACTCTGTACTTTGAACTTTACCTCGGGTTTTGAAAAAATATATAGTTCTGCCTTCGACTCTCCGTCTTCTCCACCATCTCAACTGCCGTCGATCAATTTTAATCACCTGCTTTCTATCTCAAATTTTTGCAGGAGCACCGTAGTTCTTCCTACGTACTTTGGTCGACCTCCGGCAACGTCAACATTGGAGAATTAGTACTGGAGCAGTCTTCCCGCAGCACCTGGAGTCTATAACGTTTATTGTGGACTTTGGATCTTTGTAAACCCAAGTAACCAAACTTTAATACATTCTTCCCGTAACTAAACTGATTTGGTACTTTATTTTCTATTTGAATTTGGGTAACTAAGCTAACAGAGTAAAAGGTCCACCACAATAATTGGTGAGCCCGTTTCGAACCCTTTTTTATGGTTAACCCGTTTTCGAACCTTTTTGTTTCGATAGTTAACTCGTTTTGAACATTTTTGTTGCCATTTTGGCCTTTTAAACTCGCATTGCTTTAATTTTTGTTACCACAAGTTTTGCTATTTTGTATATCTCTATACTTAAATATTTTTTGACAATGGCTCCATATAAACGTATCACTATTCCCGAAGAACTTCATAAAGGCGAAGTGACACAGAACTCTCCTGTTACCGCCTTGCCGGATTCCACATCTATGAAGGACGCACCACTGTTTTGGTTACTTTCCCAGTTAACATCTCAAATGCAAGACTTACGACTGGAAGTGTCTGAGCTTCGAGCACAAAGGAACCAGTCACATACGGTATCCAAGCAACGGCGATCAAGATCTAGACGACGTTCTAGAACACCGTCTCAAAGCCGTAACATTTGTTGGTATCATAGGAGGTATGGGCATAATGCCCTGAAGTGTCTTCGACCGTGTATGTACAACAGTAGTAACTCATCTCAGGGAAACTCCCCAGCCAGACAGTAATGGCGACGGCTGTTACTGGCAATCACCCCAGTCGCCTTTTCTATGTGAGGGATTTGACTACCGGCACATTATTCCTGGTAGATACAGGCGCCGAGGTCAGTGTTATTCCCCCCTCACTATCCAGGCGATCAGCCAAAATACCTGGAAAACTTTCACTCCGTGCTGCCAACCAAACCAACATACAGACGTATGGCGAACAGTCAATGATTTTAAACCTAGGATTACGCCGACGTTTCACATGGATCTTCATAGTAGCTGACGTACGTCACGCTATACTAGGTGCAGACTTCCTAAGTCACTTCAATCTGTTGGTTGATATCAGCAAGAAAAAACTGGTTGACAATTGCACCCAACTCAAGATCCACGGTATTACATGTGACTACTCTGTTCATAGCATCTGTATAGAAAAGCCGGAGAGTGAAATGTTCTCTGCTTTATTGCAACGATTTCCTAAAATCCTTAAACCATCATACAACGTCGAAGATATATCTCATACAGTTACGCATAAGATCATCACAACAGGACAACCTGTGAAGGCACGTCCACGACGGTTACCACCCGATAAACTAGCAGCAGCTAAGTCGGAATTCGAACATATGATGCAGCTAGGTATCATACGACCATCTAACAGTCCATGGTCTTCACCTTTGCATATGGTACCTAAAACTAATCATGACTGGCGACCATGTGGAGATTATCGCGCTTTGAATAACGCTACGGTCCCAGACCGTTATCCTATACCTCATCTCCACGACTTCTCCTTGACCTTACATGGAAAGACCATTTTTACTAAAGTTGACTTGGTCAGGGCATATCATCAAATACCAGTCGCTCCAGAAGACATTGCAAAAACAGCAATTATTACGCCTTTTGGATTATTCGAATTCTTGAGAATGCCTTTCGGACTAAAGAATGCTGCTCAAACATTTCAGCGTTTTATGGACCAAGTTACCCAAGGTCTTGATTTCGTCTTTGTATATATCGACGATGTCTTAATTGCCAGCTCATCGATGGAAGAACATATGCAACACTTAAGCTTGTTATTTCAAAGGTTTGAACAATTTGGAGTTGTTATCAATCCAAAGAAATGTATTTTTGGTTCCCCTTCCATTGAATTCTTAGGACATCGAATAACTGCCGAAGGCATCAGACCTACCGAAGATAAGATAAAAACTATTAAGAACTTTCCCGAACCTGATTCCTTAAAGAAACTTAGACGTTTTCTCGGGATGTTCAACTTCTACCGACGTTTTATTCCATCATGTGCCTCCATAGTTCAGCCACTGACCGACCTACTTAGATGCAATTCGAAGAAATTTCAGTGGTCTGAAGAAGCAAAAGCAGCATTTAATAATGCAAAAGATGCCTTATCCAACGTTGTAATGTTATCTCATATCAACCCAGAAGCTTCACTCATTTTATGTACAGATGCATCGCAGGTAGCAGTGGGAGCAGTTTTACAACAAAAGTTCAATAATGACATCACTCCACTTGCTTTCTTCTCC